AGGAGGAGGTGGAAGCGGAGGATGAGGATGAGGATGAGGATGATGATGATGATGATGAGGAGGAGGAGGAGGAGGAGGAGGATGAGGAGGAGGAGGAGGAGCAGGAGGAGGAGGAAGGGGAGGAGGGGGAGGAGGCGGAGGAGGAGGAGGAGGAGGAGAAGGAGGCGAAGGCGGAGGAGGAGGAGGAGGGGGAGGAGGAGGAGGAAAAGGAGGAGGAGGCTCAAAGGGGGCCGACGCGTCTCCTCCTGAACCTGTACCCCAATACGGTGGGCTCGTGCGGCGTCGGCGCGCGCAGAGGTTTTTGACACTGCGCCGATCGTTCGACCTTGAACCGATCGCGGCCCCGATGATTCAAGGTTTGGATTCTGTCGAGTCCAATGGCGTTACTGCGTTCCTAGATTCTTCCGCGTCGAATTCAACCTTGAACGCCTTCGCCTGCGTCGCCGGCGCGCCAACGCCGCATGAACCTACCCGATCATTGCCCCTGCCCCCGCCGAGGTCGTGTTCTTTTTCACAGCGTGGACTCCCAGAGGTCTGGACACCTTCTGAAGGGCGGGTTTTCATCGTGAACTATTTTTTGACAATCCTGAGGCCCGGCAAGGGCCCCCAGCGGCCTAATACTGATACCACCCACCTTTCCTAGGGTGCGCTCTGACCCGCATCTCAAGGCGAATCCGGCCGTGGCGACCAGGGAAGATCAGTATTATCGGTGTCTCTTCTTCCCATGAGAACTAGCGACCCTCACCCGTGATCTTTCGTTCACCACGCGAGGGGGTCTGGGGTGAGCATCGTTCAACCGACCCCTATCCCCATGGGCGTGGCCTGGGTCCCACTGGCCAACTTACCCCCCGTAGGTGAAGATGTAGGCCGTTCCCTGCGGGCTTCGAAACGGTATGTCCCCAACTGGGGCGCTGAGATGATGGGGATCTGGATGGGTTGGATGCTCATTCTGGGAACCTTCCTGGAGACACTCGCTCCACTCGTGCGTCGAAGCTGCGTCGAACGTCCGTCGATTTGAGTCGACCTTGAGTCGATCCTGAGTCGAACCTGAGTCGAACAGATTCGGCAGGTGGGCCCCAGGAAGGTCCCCCAAACACGAGCATCCGAGATGGGCATGGGCACCAGGGGGGTCGGCTGAATGACGCTGCTGGGGAGGAGGACGCCAGGCAGCCCATCGGCACGGCGCCTTGCCCCGGGGCGCTGGGCCGGCTCCCTGGGCAGCAGGCCTCCGCCCTCGAGCCGGCGCGCGGGCGCGGCCGCGGCCGAGGCACGCGGCCTGGGCACCCCCGCTCTGCGCACCGCGCCTCGCCGTGTGCGAAACGCGCGGTTGCCTTCAGGTCGGACGTGTGCTCCCTGAAGGGGTATTTTGGACGAATAATAAAAAAGAGTCAACAGATACTCAAGAATGGTCAAGAAATGCCCCAAAGCGTCCCCAGACTATTTGTTGGACTATTTTTGAACAGTCCTCCTGTGGAGGGACAGGTCCGACTTGAGGTCACCTTCGCGCCCTCGGGCCGCCGCGCCCCCCCGGAGCTCCGACGCGGAGCAAGGGCAGCAATCGCGACAGCTCGCGGGCGGGGCCACAGGCCCCATCCCGTCGCGGCACTTAGAAGCAATATGAGATACACTTCTTCGCTGTCGGGCGGCCGGGAAGTCTGTACCCTCACGGTGGCACGTCAAGGTATAAACTTTCCAGCCGCCTTGGGGCAGCGCCCCCGGTGACGGAAAAGTTCAGGTTATACCGTTCTTCGCCTGTTGGGGGCCACGTGTGGCGAATATTGCCTGGCAGGTTCTTCACCAGGAATCGGCTCCCAAGCCCCCAACTGGAGGATGGCGAGGCAGGACGTGACATGGTATGTGAACACGCGTAGCATAAAATAAATATGTGGGACTCCTCGGTAGCGTAATTTTGCACTGTTCTTCGCCCGCTACATCGTCTGCGGCGGATCGATCTGCGAGGGTCCCAGGGCCCGCAGCCAGGCGTAGTCGCCCGCCTCGAGAAAATAATGGGGCACCAAGATCTCAGGGGCCACCCTGGAGATGGTGCCTCTCTCCAACTCGGGGCCGCGCAAACATGGATTAGCGATCCATGGATTTGGTGCGCGGTCGCCAAATCCATGGACCAAGGGAGGTGCCCTCTCCAAAATGCGGCTGGTGCCGCCTCGTTCGGTCGACGGCGGAAATCCGGTATTTGCTCCGAAAACGGGACCCGTCGCTAATCCACGCCCCCTTGATCCATGTTTGCGATCGCCTGATCCAACGCTCTCCAGCCCGAGCCGCGCTGCGCGAACCGCGGCTATTTTCGGCCTGGCGTGTCGCGGCTGCGGCCCTGGCGCTGCTCCGCTCCGCGGGGCGGGAGGCGGTGAAAAGCTCGGGACGCTGACGATATGGGACTGGGCAAGCTTCGGGACGTTGGCGCCCTGGTGGTCCCTATTAACGGATTCTGGAGGCCCCGTCTGGTGCACCCCCTCCTCTCTGGGAGCGGCCACCGCCGAGCGGTAGCTCGTGCCTGGGGCGGGGGGGTTGCGTTGGCTCCCGATTACAGTGCGCCCGCGGCAAAGGGACCCGCGGTGCGCAACGGCGGATGAGGAAGCAGGGGAGAAGGAGGAGGGGGGGGCGTGAGGATGATCATGAGGAGGAGGAGGAGGAGGAGGAGGAGGAGGAGGAGGAGGAGGAGGAGGAGGAGGAGGAGGAGGAGGAGGACGCTCATGTCTCTGGCGGCTTGGTTTTCAGCCCAGGCGCGGTGGCCGTGCCTGGTCCCCAGGGCAGCCACGACAAAACCAGAGCCACGACGCACACCCAGACGTCCGACGATGTGTTTTTTTGTATGTGCGCAGCGTCGAGGTGGTCCAGATCCTTCCCCAGAGACAATTTGCCCCTCATAGCGTTTCGCTAGCAAGGGTCTTAATACATGATGAAACGACCGCAGAAGAGTCCCACAAAAAGGACGTGGAGACCGAGATCGTTTGGTCCGGCAAGCCTGTCGCCCGAGACTTCCTCACAACTTATTCAGGAGTCGTGCTCTCGCCTCAATGGCGGCTTAATTTTTGGCCCAGACAACCACGATCTTTTGTACAAGTGCACTTAGGTGCATATGGCCGTGCTCTCACCCCTATCCCGAATTGTCGACCTCTTACTCCTCGACCCTCCTACCTCCTTCATTCTCTGCCTCCCCTCCTCCTCCTTCTCCTCTTCCTCCTTCTCGTCCTCCTCCTCCTCCTTCTCCCTTCTCCCGCGCGGAAGAAGATGAGGTCGAGTTCACGTCCCGCCTCAGTTCAGACCGCTCGCTGAGCTGCAGCGTGGCGTGGACTCGACCTCCCCCCTACCGCGTGGACGATGACAAAGTCGAGTTCACGACCCGTCCCAGGTCAGACCAGTCGTCGGAATTGCGCTGTTCCTGCACTCAATCTCCTTCCTGCTGCGCTGTTGCACAAACGCGGTGGCGGGGTTTGCCGCAAACAACTGGGCATGCTTTCTGCTATGTTGGCTCTCCGGGACCCCATCTGGGACCTCTTGGGAAGTCAATCGACTGGAGGACTCCGTGGGAGTCCTGGAGCCGTCTTGGAAGCCCTTGCTGCAATGTCTGCATGGAACATCTAATGAGGGCGCGCCGCCTGGGGGCAGGCCCCAAACCGAGCCCAACGAAAGACCCTTCCCTAGACCTCAAGCAACTGCCACGCCCTCCTCTGCCTGCTCCTCCTCCTCTTCCTCGTCCTCCTGCCCCGTTGCCCGCGCGCTGCCTCCTCTGCCTCTTCTCCTCCTCTGCCTCCTCCCCCTCCTCCTCCTCCTCCTCCTCCTCCTCCTCTCCTCCTCCTTCCTCCTCCCCTCCTTCCTCCTCCTCCTCCTCCTCCTCCTCTCTCCTCCTCCTCCCATCCATCGCAAACAAGGGCCCGACCCCTCCCCCTCCTGCTCCCGGTCTTCGTTTCCTTTCCGCTGCGCCGCGCGCCCTCCTCTTCTTGCTCCTCCTACTCCCCTCTCCCTTCCCTCCCTCCTCCTCCTCCTCTCCTCCTCCTCCTCCTCCTCCTCCTCCTCCCCCCCCTTCTTCCTCCTCCTCTCCCCCTCCCCCTCCCCCTCTCCCTCCTCCTCCTCCTCCTCCTCCTCTTCCTCCTCCTCCTCCTCCACACAATTACTCAACATGAATACTACTTTCCTCCTTCCCCTGATGACGGGTTGGGAGTGTTCGCCACCCTCCCCCGCGTACTGTTTTTTACACACAGGATTCCCCGGAGTTGGGTTTTCGCATGCATTTGTTTTCAAAATGCTGCTCTCGCTGAGGCGCCGGCCTCATTTTCGGGCCCCGCTCGTTCCGAATCGTGCTCCCGCTGCAGCGCTGGCCTCCTTTCCGTGCTTCCGCTCGTTCCGAATCGTGCTCCCGCTGCAGCGCTGGCCTCATTTCCGTGCTTCCGCTCGTTCCGAATCGTGCTCCCGCTGCAGCGCTGGCGTCATTTCCCGTGCCATGCCACGGCATGCAATGCAATGCTAGGTTGCGCTCCGCTGCGCGAAGCCATGCCTTCAGCTGAAGCTGTGATATGCAGTGCTTAAGTGCCACGTCGTGCTATGCCATGACCAAGTATTTGGCGCGGGCCACGATCCGGGGTAAACTGGGCGGGGGTTTCTTCATTTCATGGAAACCCACAACATTTTCGCAACATCTGTCATCATGTTCTGCGCGCAGCTAGACACGTTGCCGCTGGACTTTCCCGACCGCGAGTCAGCGGCTATCTGTGCTTTGTTTACAGAAACTTATCTTTGGATCGACCCCCCCGTCCGTGACGGCGATGCACCTCACTGGCATGCCAGATGGATTCATGGATATCGAAGCCGCTGCAACTGAAGCGAAGGCACGGGCGGACGGCGGGCGGATCGGGATTTGAACAGAACTCCTCAGGACTCTCTCTTGTAGCGGGATGCTGTTGAGTACTGGTGGGTGTTGTATTGGAGACGGACACTGTTGAGTGCTGGGAATTCTGTTGATCGCGGAAGCACGGCGGGCGGGCGGCGGGGGGTGGGCGGTGGTCGGGCGGGCGGCGGGCGGGCGGGGCGCGCTACTTGACCAACATGCTGAATCAAGCGGACAGCGTTCAGAAGCAGATCTTGTACGGTCACTGGGCTCGCAACCCCTTCTTCTTGAACTTGGACTCCGCCCATTCGGCGGTGCAGAGGAGGATCGGCGCGGACAGCCCGCTCCTCCATCCTGGAAGCCGCGGGTACCAGCGCGAAGGCCGTCAAGCGGCGTGTGCCAAGCAGATCAACGGATCCCATGAACGGACCGCGCTCACATCTGGCGGCGCCTCGATCGAAGGCAAGTGTTTGTGCTGCCTGGCCGCTGGGTCGACTCTTGGCTGCGTCTCGCTAGCAACCTCTCCAAGCTGCTGGCTCCCAAAATCCCTGCTGCAAGAGCCCGGAGTGTTTTCAATGGCCGGGTCACTGGCCGCCGCTCTCAAGGGAAGGGACGCTGTTGCCTGGACTGCGGCGCAACGGACACTATTGAACACCACTCGCGGTCCATCGCCTCTCCCGGCAACGTTTCGGTCTACGCCAATCAGCGCCAAAGAACGCCTTGGCGAAATTCGTCGGGCTCGTCCCTGTCGAGTCCGTGAACCGCCACACGACGCCGGACGAACGAGCCGCACCGAGCGCATGCGCAGCTCGCGCGCTCGCGCGCACGCACGGGGCCGTCCGCGCAGGCCTCGCGCGCTCTGCGGGGCCCAGGGGCTTCTCGCGGCCTCGCTCTTGGAGCGGTGCACGGAAACCCGTGCGCCGCTGGCATCGTGCAGCGTGCGCCGATGGGTCCTCTCCTCCTCCTCTCTTTCACTCATGTTGCTCGGTTCAGATTTCGCGCCCGCTTCGGCCCTGTGCGGCACTGCAGGTAGTGTCATTCGCCGTTTCGCCTCGCCTCAAGCTGTCCAGGGGATGCCAGCCCATCCGCGGACTGTCGTCTCTTCGCCGCCGTTCTCCCCTCCCTCCTTCCTCTCTCTCTTCTTCGCTCGTGCTCGCGTGGGATCTCGTGCGAGTGCCACCTACCCAGGTCGGCCTACGCACGCGCGAGTGTGCAAACCAGCTTGCTAGTGTATGACTACGCGCACGTGTGCCCCTGCTCCTCTCTCCTCCTCCTCCTCCTCCTCCTCCTCCTCCTCCTCCTCCTCGTCCGCCTCCTTTTCCTCCTCCTCTTCCTCCTCCTCCTCTTCCTCCTCTTCCTCCTCCTCCTCCTCCTCTTCCTCCTCCTCCTCCTCCTCCTCCTTCGCTTCCTCCTGTGGCCAATGCTTCTTTACTTCTGGCATGAGCCAAAATTCACGCTGCCGATGTGCGTGACAGCCGTTTCTGGCAACCACACTGCCCACTCTCCCCTCGTCCTCTTCGTCCTCCTCCTCCTTTCGCCTTTTTGAGCCCCCCTCGGCGGGAAGAGAGCCACACTTTGTTGGGAGCGTGTTCTCCTAAGCAATGGCGGACAAAAACGCCCAAGGCACCGAGTCCGTGACAAGTGTTCGTGCTCCTGTTGGGGGGCAGGATGTGTCCACCTGAGGGGTTGCAGACAACTTACGGCGAGTCACTTCTTCTGCGTCGTGGTCTCTGTTCGTTTGGCTCGTTATGCGGACGACACGCGCGCGATCTAACCGAGTCAGCATGTACTCATGGGATGTGACAAAGGAACAAGCAACGTCGGAGGAACGGAACAACAAGACGTCGGTGGTCTGCGTTTGTTGTCCCACGGCGTCGCTCCGTCTCGATCTTCAGGGGGAGCCGCGCGTACCTCTCGTCGAGCTCGCGCATCCTCTGCCTCAGCTCCCCCAGCGTCTCGCGCCTCTCCTGGGGTAGGGAGGCTGGGGGGAACAGGAGGGGGAGGGTGGTGAGGTTGAGGAAAATGAAAGGAACGATGGTGAGACTGAGGAGGAGGAGAACAAGCCAGGAGGCGCCAGCTAGTCTCCCGCAGGCGCCTCGAAATGACAGAGAAGGAGGAATAGAAGTGGGCTGGAGATCAGGTGAAGACATATGACTACACGGAGGAGCTATGAGAGGAGCAGAACTCGCTGACACCTTGGAGTTTTCTCGGCGTGTGGGATACGGTGAGGGCATTGGATAAGGAACAGTTGGGTAAGGAACCCAGGGTCTGGAAGCCGGTGGAGCTCCAATCGTGGAGTGGTCAAGATATCACCGCCGCCCTCATCAAATAAGGACTCTCTAAGGGTCTGAAAGCCCTGGACACACTCCTTAACCAACATCCCCACCGTAAACCTTCCCTTCCCTTGGGAGCCAGGATCGACCGGTTTGGAAAGGGGGCGCGGAGTTGCCGGCGGACTCACAAAGCCCAGAAGAGCTCCCAAGCGCGCCGAAGCTGTCCAAGACAGTTTCGTGGCGGTCTACAAGCAAGTGCTCTGGGATACCAAGGTAGGTCCAAGAGGGCCCCAGATGGCCTCCACACAGCCCCAGGAGGCCCAAGAGAGCCCCAGGAGGACCCCCCAGAGGGCGTCAGTATGCTAATATCGCTGACTTTCTAAAGGCGTGTGGGCGTTTTTGACGTACTCGCCTTTTCGATCTTCAGGGTGCCTGAGGCAATCCAAGGGGCCCCAAACATCGCCCCAAGACGGCCCCCAAGAGGGCCCCACAAAGGCTCCCAATAATGCCCACGAGACCCCCTCGAACGGGCTCCAGGGGCCCTCCCCACAAGATGGCCCCCCAGACCCCCAATATGCCACCAAGAAAGCCCCCAGAGGTCCCAAATCAAGAGGCCCCCAGCAGGAAGCCCCCGAGAAGCCCCAAAACGACCCAACAAGGACCGTTTGGAGTACAGCGATGGGTGTCCCGGTTGGACGCACGGCGCCAAGACGCTTCTACGATACCGCTCCCTGGAAGAGGTGCACCCAGGGCTCCCTCGGGGTCGGCCGTGCGACGTAAGCAAGCGAATCAGCAGGAGGACAAGGAGGACAGGCGAGAAGGACTGGGGAGGCGGATGCGGCAGTGGAGCAGCAGGCAGCAACGCTGGGCGAAATGGCAAAGGCGAGGTTGGGAGCGGAAGGTGTCTTCTCATGGCGGCGCGCAGAGGGGGTAGGGGAGGGGGGAAAGCTTCTTAGAAGGAGGCTGCTTCTTAGAAGGCGCCGGCCCTTCACCTACAGACAAGGCCCGCGCCTTCTAGGAAGCAGGGGTGCTTCTGAGACGCCTTCCCCCCCTCCCCCTACCCCCCTATGCGCGTGGCCGATTCCTTTCCCTTTCCCCCAGGACGGCCTAAGAGCGGCCCAAGACGGCCGAAGAGGGCCCCAAGACAGCCCCAAAAGGGGCCCAAGAGAGGGAACACGAACCGAAAATCCGAGCCTTGCGCCCCAAGATGCTTCAGGAGGCCCCGAGAGGCGCCGAAGAGGCGCCGAAGAGGCCTCATGTATGTATATGTTTGTCTGTCTGTTTGTCTGTCTGTCTGTCCGTCTGTATGTATGCACGTATGCACGTATGCATGCATGCATGTATGCATGCATGCATGTATGTATGTACGTAGATATATATATATATATAAGTATGTATATCTGTATGCATGCATGTATGTATATATGTATGTATGTATGGATGTACGCATGTATGAATATATTCATGAATGCATGCATGCATACATGTGTGTATGCATGTATACATGCATGCATGCATGCATATATGTTAATGCGTGCGTATGAGTGTACGTATGTATGTATGCATAACATGGTGCAAACAACTACGCATGCACGTATGTATACATGCATGCATGCATGTATGCAGGTATGCATGCACGTATGTATGTATACATGCATGCATGTAAACGTATGTATGTATGCATGCATGTGTATATATATGCATGTATGTATGTAGGTATGTATGTATGTATGTATGCATGTATGTATGTATGTATGTATGTATGTATGTATGTATGTATGTATGTATGTATGTATGCACGACTGTATGCATGTATACATGCATGCATGCAAACGCGCATGTATGTATGCATGTATGCATGTATGCATGCATGCATGCATGCCTTTTTTAATGTATATCTGCATGTGTATACATATACATATGTACGTACGTACGTGTGTTTGTATGCTGCATGTTTATGTACATGCACAAGTGTAGGTGTATCCACATGTTTATGTACGTGTGTATGCATATGTACGTGTATCTGTGTATGTGTATGTATATGTATACGTATTTGTATATGTATATTTAAAGGTGTATGTGTGTGTGCCTGTCTGTCTGTCTGTCGGTCTGTCTGTCTGTGTCTGTCTGTGTCTGTCTGTGTGTATGTATGTATGCATGTATGTATGTATGTACGCATGTGTGTGTATATGTATACACATTTTTCACATATTGCATGAATGGCTACAACCTGCGCGAACCCATTTCAAGTCGCGGGCGTGTTGGGTAGCCTGGGGTGAACAAATCTCGTTGCACGCATCTCGCTCTCCGAATCGTTTGGCTGGCGGGCCAGATGAAAAAGGAACAGGTAGTGATCTCTGTGGGTCTCAACGAAGGTCCTTCGCGTCACCAAGTCTATGCGCGCGTGCATGTCCTCGCCGTGTTCGTCCTTGCTCTACCGCGCCCGCGCCTTTTAGGGTCGCGCTCGTCCTGCACACGGGGTACATAGTCAACAGAAACAGGCGTCTGCGGCGGGATTTGCTTTAACCTTGATTTCGCTCTTCGGCAGCCGACAGGCCGTCGCGCGACAAGTTCACTCTCTCCTGCCTCCCCGTCCCCACACCAACTTCTCGTCCGCGTGCTTGTCCGTCTCATCCTCCCCTCATCCCCTCCTCCCACTTCTTCCCGCTTTTCCTCTTCCTCCTCTTCGTCCTCCTCCTCTTCTCCCCCTCCTCTCCTCTCACTTCTTCCTCCCCCTCCTCCTCCTCCTCCACCACCTCCTTCTTCTTCTGCTTCTCCTCCCCCCTTCCTGTTGCCGTAGCGGCGGGTCTCCTCGTCCGGAACCAGCCGAAAGCCGGGTGGAATGGCGACGGCGCTCCCCAGGATGTCGTCGTCCCTCCGCCCCGAATCAGGACCCGAAACAAAAAGGGAAACGGGGGGGCGCCCAAATGGCGACATCGGCGAAAGCTTCCAAGACCCGCGGGACCACGACGACGGCGACGAACACGACGACGACGGCGGCGGCGACGACGACGACGACAAGGCGAGGATGACGACGACGACGACGACGACGACGGCGGCAGCGACGACGACGACGACGACGACGACGACGACGACGGGGGGAAGAGGAAAGGATGCGGACGACGGACGGACGGACTTCCGCACATGCGCTTGGGCGTGGTCCTCCCAAGGGACGGAGCCGTGGTGCAGTGGCGCCGAGCGTTTGAAAAAAAAAACCGTGCCGCGCGGGCACGAGGCAAGACGGTATTGCGAAAAAGCGGAATGATAAGCAGGCCAGGGCGGGCGCAGGTAGCATGGGGGACCGAAACCAATACAATGTTTTTTTTTTGTTTTGTTTTTTTTTTTTCTCTTTCTCTCTCTCTGTCTCTCTCTCGCTCTCCCTATTTATTTCTGTCTCTCTTCCGCTTACAGTTCAAACCAGATCCAAGACACCTGTTTTTTGGCAAGTAACTCTGAGTGGGGGTCAGAAATGCTTAGCTTCCCCCATCCTTAGTCAATTCCTGCAGCGTGCCAGCAAGGCTGATGCGCTCTCAAAGGGCGCCAACATGGGGGCGCGGCCAAAGTGGAAGCAATAATCACTCCACATCGTAGGCGAGTCAGGGCCCTGAAGGCTCAGCATGTCGGTGGCCCACCAAAGGGCGGAACACGCTCGAACATGAAAACAATTGAGCTGAGTTCGGGAAGGGCTTCCATTCCATCTCAGCATCACGCAATGCGGCATCCAAAATACAGCAAGGCGCTGGAAACTCTTAGGTGTTTCACAAGCCTGTAATTGAATTCAAGACTGGCACGGCCCGGTCTAGAACGCGGATTCGGCAGAAGTTAAGTTGGCCAGGCGCAGCGCTGTCAGTTCTGTTCAAGGCGTCCTGGCCAAAGACAACCCAGGGCCTTGGCGGGGGTGGCAATGAGAAGCGGTACGGGCGAAGGTCTCACTTTGACGTTAGACACCATCGCCGTCGAAATAGAAGCCGCGATGCGTCTCAATCTGTCGCTGGACACCATCGCGGGCGATCGCGCTCCGCTTCTTAGAACTTTCGCCGCGGTCAAGCTGTCTCGCTAGATTGCCGCGTGGGGCGCGGCCGCTCGTGATCTGGCGTCCTGTGCTGCGCGGTGTCTCGGGCAGCGTGGTTTCGGCTGGGGCCCTCGTTCCCTTGATCTGCGCGTGCAGGGTCGGGGTCACCGTGAGCGTGTCTTGGTGGAGTTCGCCCGCTGACTCTTTACTGTTTGGATCAAACTGCCGCGGTCCTCCATGGACCTCGGCAGTACGAGCTCTCCGCGGCAACTGCGCAATATGCGCGCCGTGGGTTCTTTTCTGGCATCTGGCGGGTGGACGGCGCGCTCATCTCAATGACCCGCAGGCGAGCGTTGTCTGCCCCATCCCGACTCCGCTGCGGCCCCGCGAGCATCGACCGAGACCTGGTCGAGGCATCCCTGTGCTCGAAGGTCAGCAAAGCTACGGGGGCCACTGAAACGCAGTGGGGACGCAGGGGGGGGGGGGGGGGCGACCTGTGTCGGGTGCTTGTTTCCCCATCTTGAGGTGCCCATGGGAGCAGGCACTCATCTGGCGTGCGACCTGGCACTTCTGGTGGATGGAGCATCGTGGCGTGTGTTTGGGTTTCCAGCGTTCGAACTCGCCGTTCGAGCTGCGCGATCAGCGACTGCCTTATCTATGGCGTGCTGTCGGTGCCCACGCCCTCGTCCTCTGCATCTCCATCCTTCCGTTCTTGCTTCCTTGCTTCTAGGCCCGGGGAGTGTATTGACAACGAGGGCGCGCTGCTGCCAGTCAGCCCTGTCTCTTCTGGCCCTCGCGCGCCATCTGCTTCAGCTGGGGGCCCTCGAACGTTAAAGACGGAAATCAGTGAGGTTCCATGTGCTCTCGTCCGTGCTTGAATATCAGCTGCGGACCCAATGGTGGCCAGGCGTGCACATCCGAGCTTTGGTTTGTTCACTGGCGCAGCGAATCTAGGTCGGGCTGTCGGGCAATAGCTGCGAAGAAGACTGCTTGCAATGTGCCGTGGCGGTATCTCGAAACGTCGACTCGCATGAAACGCCGTCATTCGCATTCGTGGCGACCGTCGCTATGTTCGCCCTCCCGTGCGACCCTCCAACCGCCGATGCAATGCGCATGCGGAGCTGCCATTTGATGGCCAGAGCGGTGTGCGTGCGATCGCATCGCCCCGAACTCCCAAGCAATGGTGCGCGCCGACGACCGCCTGCTCAGCGGCCTCGCGAGCCTCTGTATCCTGAAAGAGGGAGCGGGCTCGAGACTCTCCGACGTCTATTCTGCAGAAGTCCGCGGGCTTCCGGAGTAAAAGCTCGATGGGGTCTGCGTGGGATATAACGCTGCACCAGCCCCGAGCTCTTGCGGGCTGTCGAGGTCAGCGTATGCCTGACGTGCCCGCTGGTTCTTGGTCTCGGTAACCTGGTCTTCGCCATCCGAAATTGGCTCGTTAAACTTCTGGTGTCTAAAAACCGTCGCTTGACATTGTGTGTTATCGCGTCGATGTGGGAACATTTCCTGAATCGACTTAAGTCTGCGAGTGCGCGTAGCTTCATATGAAAAAAACGATTCAGGTCGTCGGAATACGTCGCGATGATGAATGGAGCGCTGATGTCGGGCCTTGGGGCCCTAGTGAAGTGCGCTGGAGGGTGGCTCTAAACTTCTTGATGAGTAGCCCCTGAAGGTGCCTAACGTCGTTTGCCGAAACGACACCGGACCCATGGGCTACTGCCTCCATCGCCGATGAGGCCGTGTTGACCAGGGTCCCGCTCACTAATGTTCGTGTCTGTGTGCCGCGCCGTCCCACGCTGTGGCAAGCTGCGTTGGCGGCGCTGAGCCTCTTGCGTAGCTCGGGCCCCAGAGGTGAGCGTCGATGCCTGAAAGCCAACTAGATATCGGCAGCGGTCAAGGGCGCGCCCTGCAACGTTCTCGACCGCGCCGCTGCAAGGCCTGCGCTGCGTCTGATGGGCTGAGCGGCATCTGAAATAACATCTTTTCTTTTGCTTGCTGACGATTCGACCCCCCTTCGATCGCCCTCGACCCCTTGGCGTCGCCCTCCAATCTGCTAGCTCTGCTGACCGTCTCCTCTGTCGCCCCACCCCCGTCCTCGATCGCCTCGCTAGCAATGCCGGCGACGTGGGCAGTCATGGAGAACTGCTCCGTCCACTCCGCGCCCCGCGGATGAGCTGTTTCGAGGGGGGGGCAATTCTCGATCGCCGTCGGGATGGATAAGCGCCCGCGGGCGAGCGCTGAATCTGTTCTACAACGGAGCTGCGCCCCTGCTGTGCCCTGAAGGAACAGACCGCGCTTGTCTTGCGGCCGGAAAGAGACCGTTCGCGTCTTCAAGAAGTGAAGCGTCGTGAACGATTCGGTCTCGCATGAATGTCTTGTCCCGCAGAGCATAGATTGAGTCGACGCATTCAAGGGCTGCTGTCGTGCTGTGTAGTATGCGCTCGCGGCGTCGTGGTGCCGCTGCGCGTGCGAGACCCCTGCCGCCTGCGCCCTGTGCCCCCCCGCCATCTGGGCCCCGTCGCGGTTCCCCCCCGTCTCCTCCGTCTCCTCCGTGGGCCCAGTCGGGCGGGTCCCAGCTGACCCGAGCGCGCGCGTGGACGTGATGCGTCTCTCGCTCCCCGTGTCCAACTTGCTGTTGTGCCTTAATGCGCGCGCTGCTTGTGCGCTGTGCCCGGCGGCTGGGCGTCTGTCGTGCTGTCTGAGGGCGCCCGTGGCCCCGCAGACCGTGCCTCTCGTCGCTGTGGTCTTGGAGTTGTCGTCGTCGTGTCCTAGACTGCACCGTTGAGCGGGTCTGCGCTCGTCAACCCACTTGGGGATGCAAAACTCAGCGCGGGCATTCTGGTGGCGTGCTGCAGTAGGGCCGCGCCCGCCAAATAGCGGAGCCTCCGTGCGCTTCCAGAGAGCTGGTTCCAGTCCTCGGCTGCCCAGCAGAGCGCCGCGCTATGCGCCATCTGCCGGCGCTTCTCTGTCTGGGCCTCCAGGGGCACTTGCCTGGGGGCCTTGGCCCCTACTGCGCAACCTCCTGATCGTGGATCAAGCAGCATCTTGCGCGCCCAGCTAGCGACGCACGCCGATGAACCCAGCGCGGCGGCAGACCTACGCTGTCGAGGGCCTCGCTTCCTGCGCGCCAGGAGGTGCGCGTCATTTTCTGCGCTGAAAAATTGTACTGCTCCTGGGCGGCCTTCTGTATCTCCGCGCACCTGCGCCGCTGAATTGCATGGCAGTGTTGCTGACTTCGCCCTCGGATCTGTTCGCTCGCGGCTTTGACCTCACTGGTGCGCTCGTCGTCGTCCGTAGCGTGCTCCGCAGGGCTGCGTCGCTTTACCAGAAGGCTCTTGACGGTCCTCAGGTGCTCCTTGTGGGGCTCGCTGGAAATGTTTACGGTGGCCTGCTTCACCGCCTTCATGAAGGTCTGATTCATCTTGTCAAGGTCCCCTGGTTCCCCGGTCTGGCCAAACGCTTGGATTCTTGATTCCACTCCAGGCGCATGTGCCCCGTCTGGACACTCGTAGAGCGCCTCGCGGTTGGGGCGTGGTCTTCGGAATGTGCGATGGGCGACAGCGGGCCTGGCGATCGTCGCTACCACAACGGGCTTGTGATCTTGGCTGTCGGGGTGCATTGCAAACTGAAGCCTATTAACGCTGCTGGTGAGAACCTGGGCGCGGTCAGCTGTGCCAGGCATCGCCGTGGGGATGAAGATGTTGTCGGTGGAGCTCTCGGAACCCTTGTTTGAGGTGAAGGTGTGTGGTGGGGTGGGGTAAGGGGGGTGGGGGTGGGGTGGGGTGGGTGGGTGGGTGGGTGCTTGGTGGCGGTGCTGGTGGGGGGGGGGGTCGCAGCGGGTGTTCGCGCTTGTCATGTCCCAA